AGCAGTGGGAGAACTCCCGATAGCATGGCCTGAGTTGATTCTATGTTTAAAATGAAATATATATATATATATATATTGCAACACTTAATCAAGCTCTGTAATGCTACGCTATGATTGGCCAGTCTGCGTTCAAGGGGCAGGACTTAGGGGAGGGTCATTTGTTGTGTCATTGTCATTGGTCATTGTGACAAACTTACTGGAAATTTTGCTGTGACCTTCATCACATGTGATGAAGTTTGCTCAGTTGTCATGGAGTTGACACAACTAGCATTTTGATCCTGTGATAACAGGTGATCAAATATGTGCTCACCAAACCACAGAAAATTTTAAGATGAAGTGATTAACAACTGAACCATCTTCATGAGAACTGAGAGACTCCATCCAAAAAGACAACAACAAGAAAAGACGCTGTAATTTTTCTTTTTTAAAGCCAACCAAACCCCCAAAAAAAGGATTCTGACCCGTTTTTTTCCAGATTGAATGAAATAATTGATTGATAGCATGATACACAGACCAAACAGACAAAAGAAAGCTAAAAACGTCACCATTTTGGCAACACAGGCCTACAAGCAATTGTGTTTCAAGGGACAGGTATCTTCTTCTGAATTTTGTGTCTGTTTGACATATCAAATATACGTTTCCAATCATAGTTGACAGAAGTCTGCACAGAAAGGAGGTTGCAGTTTGTGTCCCCTTGTTAAACAAAAAGTCAATGTTGACTTATTTGAATTTCCGTCCATAGCTTACTCATTTTAAGCCAAACCATGATATTTTACTAAACCTAACCTAGTAGTTTTGTTGCTTAAACATAACCAAGTCGCTTAGTAGTCTTCTGAAACGTTTTGTCTTAATTAAAAATATTAACTAAGTGTTAAAGTTAAAACTGGGACTGTAATCAGGATTAAATACATTTCCCTCGAAATGTGGTTAGGAATGCAGTTTAGTTGTATGGGAACGTAATTTTTTAGGAGACAGCGTTGGATGGAAAGATGGACAGAAATACAGACAATAATAGCCTTGGCTGTAGCTTCAACAGTATATTACAATGATTAATATTGAACTCAACTGTTTCTGTGTGTGCAGTGTCAGCTCGGTGTTGTCTTCAACCGCTACTATCACTGCAGTGTTTATGGCCTTACTGCTGCTGGTCGTGGGTACCAAGTATTCTTTACCCAGTTTTGCCACAGCGGGGAGCTGTTCATACACGTGTTCGCAGGTATAACCCATCGACAGACACTGGTGGCCTGCTAAGACAGCTACAGGCTGCTGGGACTGGATCCGCGTGCCTGTCAAAGTGGATTGACCTCGTACAAGGTAGGACGCGTAGGGTGCCAGGATAATGTTCTCCCTCCTCCCACACTGCCAACTTTTCCCGCCTTTTAGCTTCACATTGTTTTTTGGTAGGATGCTGATCCGGTTCTCGCTATTGCCATTAACAATAGCAAATAGACTGTCCATGCCCCTGTATGGTTTGGGTGTGTACACAAAGTAGTCAGTACCCAGCTCTTCGAGTGGGGAAACCACCGCGCCATCTCCTGTGGAAAAGCGACGATTGAAAGAGACCACAGAGATCGCGGCACTAGATGAGATTCGAACCGCCGATTTGGCAGTGTCAAATTGCTTCTGCAGTTCGGCTCCACGTGGCAGAGAAACCCAGCGGCTTTCACCTGCAGCGAGTTTCAGCTGTTTGTTGAAATTCACTGACGCTACCTGCAGATCAATAGGTTTGGATGGGTTAAATATTTATGAGCCACATTAAAACAGATTGGCTCTTCTTGCTCTTCCTTAAATTAACAGGATTCTAACCTGTATGCCAATATTGGCTTCAGTGCACTTTGCAGTCAGAACCAATTGGAGCGTCTGACCTTTGAGATTGGAACCCATGCTGTTAGGAAGAAATGTGGTGATGAACTCCTTTCCTGTAGAAACACCATGACATACTGGAGAAGAGAGAAGAGAAGAGATTTTGCATTAATTAAATAAAGCATGACTAAAGAGCGAGCCTTAATATTGTCAGCCTCCCTACTGTCATACCTGCCAAGAGTGCCGCACAGACAGCCAAACACACCGAGAGAGGCTTTATTTCCATAGCTGATAGAGAAAGAGAGACATATACAATGATAAAAACCAAAATACATAATATTACATAATGAGGACTCAAGCACTGAGTATGCTAATGGGGGCAGATATAATTCAATTCAATTTATTTTGCATAAAGCAGGTCCCAAGACTGCTGTAATGGACTACTGTAAACATGCTCCAGAAGCATTTCAATATCACGCTAAGAATCAGATTGATGTTAGCATCTACTTCCAACATGCTGCTACTCCGTCAAGCTGTCAAAGCTACCATGGAGCCCCCACTGTCTCTAACTGCACGCACGGAAGAAGTTTCATTCGGAGAGAGGAGCAAACAGAAGGGTCTACAACAGGAGTCACTAATAGACGGACCGCGGTCCGAGTCCGGACCCAGACGCCGTAGCATCTGGACCTGGACCTACAACCGATAGATAATTGAGAATTATTCCATTTTGACGGAGCGCTTCTATTTTAACTGGCTTTTCTAGCTTTTACGGTACTCGTTCAGCAGTCCAGGAAACAAACCGACCAATTACATCACGTGATGCTGCTCAGCCAATCAAATATGTGTATTCCGATAAGTTTCCCGACTCCAGTGAGATTTACACACATGGAGAGACGGGCAAGAGACCGAGTAGTTGGAGAATAGTACGTGAGTCAGAAGTAATTTCTCATGACGTTCTCCAAAAAGAGAAATGTGGACAGAGAGACCAGAGTCCTTAACCAAGAATGGACAGCTCTTGTATGTTCATTCTTCCAACGGCCAGTTCAAAAGAGGATGTCTCATATGTTCACAGACCGTGGCGATTATTAAAAGCTGTCATGTGAAACGCCACTATGAGACAAAGCACACATATTTTGAGCAAACGTACCCACTCACATCCAAAATCAAGGAACAGAAAATAAATCTAAGAGCCCAATATGATCAGAATCCTAACACATGAATTCACTTCCCAACAATGATGTTAACAGAGAGAGGAATAGAGCTGAAACAAGTGGTTTCAATAACCACAGATAAAGTCTCTGCACACAAATTTCTCTTTTTAGAAGATGAGAAGAATATGATATCGCTGCTTTTTTGGGTGACATCACTTCACGCTTCATGAATTGAATTTAAAGCTGCAGGGCAATTCAGTTCAATTCATTTTTCTTAAATTAAGCACTTTATTTTAAAATGCATTGCATTTTTCAAACCTTTCTTTTATGTGATTTAATCTTAAATGCATCCCTTATTTTACTTGAAAGGAGAGAACATTCATTTATTATTAGATTATGCATTATTTATAATTCATCCAGTTCAATTTGAAAACTGACAATAAATATTGTTGAGATATTATTCAATTGAACTTTCTTTATTTGACAGTCAGTTGTTGACAACAGACGTTATTACAACTGTTGGCTACTTCAATACATATGGGACTAAATCATAGCGCAAGTTAGACATTACTGTGATGTTCCAGACTTTTGCATGAGGAAAGTCTCTCTAACTGGACCTCGTTGAATGTTAATTGAATACCCCTGCTCTACAGTAATACTGTGAACAAAAACATGCACTAAGGTTACCTGATGGAGCCGATGAATCTGTAATAAAGTGTGAGATGTCACTACAAGCAATTATTTAAAAAAATTGACAGTCAGCTGCATGTCACTGCAGCCTTGACTGTTGATATATGTATTATATTGTATTGGTAAAGTAAGGCCCTGCAGTTGAAATGCGTAGGCTATTCTTCAAGAAATGATTGAAATTTATATTATTGTATCTTTAATACAACTGTACCCAGACCTTATTGGCTTACAGGGTGCTGCAAATGAATACATGCCAGGTCTAGAATACTGCAAATACATCCTGAAACATTTCATAAAACATCCGAAGACAAAGAAAAATAATTATAAAGAATGCTCACGATTCCATTTTCAGATGCTGATGTCTACTGCTGATTTTAGTACTAACAAAACCTGCACTGTGTAGTCAAAATAATGGAGAAATAATATTGTTTTCCATGCTTTTAGAACAAAGTTGGCAAGCTTAAAAACAGCAAAGCTAAACAACTATATATTTTTGTTTGTTGAGAAACTACCTGTAGTAGACCGATAGCGATGAACTGCATTTCATCACCCACAGTCATAGTTTCTGGGAACTCTATTACTTCATATACTATTAAACATTTACTTCATAAACCTAAAGATTCTCAGTAAATGAGCCAAAATCCAATGTCATACTGTAATCCCCTGTTGAAATACCCCAACCACCACTATTATCACCAGAGGCATCCATACTGTACCTGCAGCAGTCCGTGAGAGTGCTACTCTGGGAAGGATGGAGGGACACTTATATACTAAGTGGGAGTGTGGGGCAGAGACAGAGACATGTAGAGAGAAACAATCACACGCCGCCGTTCAGTTCTGCTTGAAGGAAAAGCATATTGAATATTGGTGCGCTTGTGTTTGTTGTGTGGGCTGGTTATTGGAATAAAGACTTGGGAGTGACCTCAGCCTGATGTGATGGCTTTGATCGTGTCACTCAGACAACAAAAGTCATGTCGTCAAATTGTCAAGCTGTCACACTAGTCCCTCGTCCTCCCATCCTATGTCCTCTCTTGTTGACTTGCAGTGCTTATTTTATAATATACACATCAGTCATACAAAGATGACATAGAATTTCATGCATTCTATTTCAAGCTGACTCAAACTCCTTTTTCAACACAGAAGTCGAAATAATCGCTTCTTTATCAGTCTGCATTATAGATGATATGATAATAAGATGCAAACGTAACCGTACTTGACGGCTAACACAGGAATTGACCTTGTTGTATTTCTTATGTCTGTTATTGCACTCTAGGCTTCGACCTCTCTGCATGCTTTTGGACCAGGCCTTTGCTCTGCTTAAGGGAATGTATCGTCACATATTGTAGATAACTCACCTTAAATGGCATTGATCAAATTAAATGACTCAAGTATTTTAGCCCAGGAAGAGGATAATGTCTTCTCTGAAAGCATTTTCATCGGCGGCGCATTTCAACACTTAGTATTCAAGATTCAGGGGTAAGTTTTCTAACTTCCCTGTCAATCACATACCAGTTGTGTGAAAAAGTGTTTGCCCCCTCCCTGATTTCTTATTTTTTTGCATGTTTGTCACACTTAAATGTTTCAGATCATCAAACAAATTTAAATATTAGACAAAGATAACACAAGTAAACACAAAATGCAGTTTTTAAATGAAGGGTTTTATTATTAAGGGGGAAAAAAAATCCAAACCTACATGGCCCTGTGTGAAAAAGTGATTGCCCCCTAAACCTAATAACTGGTTGGGCCACCCTTAGCAGCAACAACTGCAATCAAGCGTTTGCGATAACTGGCAATGAGTCTTTTACAGTGCTGTAGAGGAATTTTGGCCCACTCATCTTTGCAGAATTGTAATTCAGCGACATTGGAGGGTTTTCGAGCATGAACCGCCTTTTTAAGGTCATGCCACAGCATCTCAATCGGATTCAGGTCGGGACTTTGACTAGGCCACTCCAAAGTCTTCATTTTGTTTTTCTTAAGCCATTCAGAGGTGGACTTGCTGGTGTGTTTTGGATGTGTGTTTTGGTGTGTTTTGGATCATCAGCTTGAGGTCACGAACAGATGGCCGGACATTCTCCTTCAGGATTTTTTGGTAGACAGCAGAATTCATGGTTCCATTTACCACAGCAAGTCTTCCAGGTCCTGAAGCAGCAAAACAGCCCCAGACCATCACACTACCACCACCATATTTTACTGTTGGTATGATGTTCCTTTTCTGAAATGCCGTGTTACTTTTACGCCAGATGTAATGGGACATACTACACCTTCCAAAAAGTTAAACTTTTGTCTCGTCAGTCCACAGAGTATTTTCCCAAAAGTCTTGGGGATCATCAAGATGTTTTCTGGCAAAACTGAGACGAGCCTTTATGTTCTTTTTGCTCAGCAGTGGTTTTCGTCTTGGAACTCTGCCATGCAGGCCATTTTTGCCCAGTCTCTTTCTTATGGTGGAGTCATGAACACTGACCTTAATTGAGGCAAGTGAGGCCTGCAGTTCTTTGGATGTTGTTCTGGGGTCTTTTGTGACCTCTTAAATGAGTCGTCGCTGCGCTCTTGGGGTAATTTTGGTCGGCCGGCCACTCCTGGGAAGGTTCACCACTGTTCCATGTTTTCGCCATTTGTGGATAATAGCTCTCACTGTGGTTCGCTGGAGTCCCAAAGCTTTAGAAATGGCTTTGATAAACCACAGTTAATTTATGTTTTAACAGGGGGGGG